AATGAACTGATTGCCCTCTGCTAATCGGTTTTGTTCATTGTCTTCGACTTCGAAAGGTTTCAGCAAATTCTTTGAAAATAGAGTATTTGTTAAAGCTTGGAGTTAGTTGCTTGGCTCCATGGTTAACCAGTTCAAGGTCCTAAGGTTGGATTTTTGAATGATGTCTGGATGACCTAATGCACCCTGCAGTTCTGCAAAGCAAAACAATTTTGCCTCTGGTAGAATCAGAGCTATCTTAAAATCCGAGTGTTTAATTGGGTGAATCTTAGGTCGATCCCTCATACCCTATTTAAACTCACAGACCCAAGGTCTTAATAAGATGTGCCAAGTTTGGTTTATAGGATATGGGCGGCTTGGTGAAACCGAAAATCGAAACCCCGACCCCTAATCTACAACAATCGAAGGCTCGAAGCGCAAGCAAAATAGAACAAAATTGCAAGAAAGCTGAAACCGAACCCCAGGCTTTCACGTCTAAAAATTGAATTGTAGCAAGTACTACTATATGGATATTTCAAATTAAAATTCACGTTTTTGCCCTTTGTTGCATGATAATTATTGATATATTATTATAGTTACTTTTATTTGTTACCATAACTTTTTATTTTATTGAAGAAGTACATATTCATCTTCTGAGACATCATATGTATTATTCAACGTTTTTAAAAAACTAAACACAAAATGAAATGATATTGAGCATATATATGTTTTTCTAAAAAGAAAGTTAGAATAACTTTTTAAGTTATTTACCATTGCTAAAAATTCATTTAGTAAAAAAGAAATGGAATCAATATACATAACCTTTACAAATAAAAGTTTAACTTCATGTTATATAGAGTTTAATGCACCAAACCCCCTCGTGATTTAAAAAATACATATGCATTAGCTCCCCTGATTTAAAAAATGCATCAAACTTTCTTGTGTTTTAAATAATCATGCACATAACCCCTTTTATGAAAAAAATTATGATTTTGAAATCACTTTTTCTAATAATTTGATTGAATATGCAAGTAAATATGTCAAATTCTCTAAATCATACAAAAATGTTAATCATTTTAATTTTATTTGACAATTGAATTTTTCATAGAAGGGATTTTGTGCATACTTAATTAAAACACAAGGGGATTTGACGCATCTTTTAAATCACAGGGGTCAAATTGCTGCGTGTTCTTCCGTTTAGAGCGTATTATATTTCGTTGGAAAGATAATTTGGAGTTCTAAAACTATTGTTCCAACTTCATTTACAATGCATTATTCAAAAGTTACAGATTAACCATAAATTCACAAATGTTTGTAATTTCACTCCGAACTTGTGTAGAATTTGATCCAATCATATCTTGCTCTATTTTGTTCTGTTAAAAGCATTTAATATCTCGTTGGAATGATCTTATCGAGTTCTAAAACTTGTCTTCAGGCGTTGATTTCAAAATATTAAGGGATGATTGCCTAATTACTAAAATAAATTGTATTTACGCTAAAAGTGCTATATTTACACTGAAAACGCTAAGTCATAGAGATAAAGTTAAGTATTTGTGCCACTCATATCTTGTTGTGTTCTTCCATTTAGAGCGTATTATATCTCGTTGGAAAGATAATAAGGAGTTCTAAAGCTATTGTTCCAACTTCATTTACAATGCATTTATTAAAAGTTACAGATTAACCATAAATTTACAAATATTTCTGATTTGACTCCGAACTCGTGTAGAATTTGATCCGATCATATCTTGCTCTATTTTGTACCGTTGAAAGCGTTTAATATCTCGTTGGAAAGATCTTGTTGAGTTCTAAAACTTGTCTTCACGCGCTGGTTTCAAAATATCAAGGGATGATTGCCTAATTACTAAAATAAACTTTATTTACGCTAAAAGTGCTATATTTACCCTGAAAACGCTAAATCATAGAGATAAAGATAATTATTTGTGACACTCATATCTTGCTGTGTGTTCTTCCGTTTAGAACGTATTATATCTCGTTGGAAAGATAATTTGGAGTTTTAAAGCTATTGTTCCAACTTCATTTACATTGCATTAATTAAAAGTTACAGATTAACCATAAATTCACAAATATATCTGATTTCACTCCGAACTCGTGTAGAATTTGATCCGATCATATCTTGCTCTATTTTGTTCCGTTTAAAGCGTTTAATATCTTGTTGGAATGATCTTATCGAGTTCTAAAACTTGTCTTCAGGCGCTGGTTTCAAAATATCAAGGGATGATTGCTCAATTACTAAAATAAACTGTATTTTCGCTAAAAGTGCTATATTTACGTTGCAAACGCTAAATCATAGAGAAGGCTAAATATTTGTGGCACTCATATCTTGATGTGTATTCTTCTGTTTAGAGCGTATTATATCTCATTGGAAAGATAATCTGGAGTTCTAAAGCTATTCTTTCGACTTCATTTACAATGCATTAATTAAAAGTTACAGATTAACTATAAATTCACAAATATTTCGGATTTCACTCCGAACCGGTGTAGAATTTGATCCGATCATATCTTGCTCTATTTTATCCCGTTGAAAGCGTTTAATATCTCGTTGGAAGGATCTTATCGAGCTCTAAACTTTTCTTGAGGCGCTGGTTTCAAAATATCAAGGGATGATAACCTAATTACTAAAATAAAATGTACTTACGCTAAAAGTGCTATATTTACGTTGAAAACGCTAAATCATAGAGATAAGGCTAAGTATTTGTGAAACTCATATCTTACTCTGTGGTCTTTCGTTTAGAGTGTATAATATCTCATTGGAAATGTAATATGGAGTTCTAAAGCTATTGTTCCATCTTCGTTTACATTGCATTAATTAAAAGTTACAGATTAACCACAAATTCACAAATATTTCTGATTTTACTCCGAACTCGTGTAGAATGTGATCCAATCATATCTTGCTCTATTTTATTCCGTTGAAAGCGTTTAATATCTCGTTAGAAAGATATATCGAGTTCAAAAACTTGTCTTCAGGCGATGATTTCAAAATATCAACGGATGATTGCCTAATTTCTAAAATAAACTGTATTTACACTAAAATTGCTATATTTACGCTGAAAACGCTAAATCATAGAGATAAGGTTAAGTATTTGTGAAACTTATATCCTGCTGTGTGTTCATCCGTTTAGAGCATATTATATCTCGCCGGAAAGATAATTTGGAGTTCTAAAGCTATTGTTTCAACTTCATTTAAATTGCATTAATTAATAGTTACAGATTAACCATAAATTCACAAATATTTCTGATTTCACTCCGAACTCGTGAAGAATTTAATGCGATCATATCTTGCTCTATTTTGTTTCGTTGAAAGCGTTTAATATCTCGTTGGTATGATGTTATCGAGTTCTAAAACTTTTCTTTACGCGCTGTTTTCAAAACACCTAGGGATGCTTGCCTAATTAATAAAATAAACTGTATTTAAGCTAAAAGTGCTGTATTTACCCCAAAAACGCTAAATCATAGAGATAAGGCTAAGTATTTGTGACACTCATATCTTGCTGTGTATTCTTCCGTTTAAAGCGTATTATATCTCGTTGAAAAGATAATTTGGATTTCTAAAGCTATTGTTCCAACTTCATTTACAATGCATTAATTAAAAGTTACCGATTAACCATAAATTCACAAATATTTCTGATTTGACTCTGAACTCATGTAGAATTTGATCCAATCATATCTTGTATTATTTTGTACCGTTGAAAGCGTTTAATATCTCGTTGGAAAGACCTTATCGAGATCTAAAACTTGTCTTCATGCGTTGTATTCAAAATATCAATGGATGATTGCCTAATTACAAAAATAAACTTTATTTACACTAAAAACGCTATATTTACCCTGAAAACGCTAAATCATAAAGATAAGACCAAGTATTTGTGACACTCATATCATGCTGTGTTTATCTCGTTGGAAAGATAATTTGGAGTTCTAAAGCTATTCTTCCAACTTTATTTACAATGCATTAATTAAAAGTTACAGATTAACCATAAATTCACAAATATTTCCGATTTCACTCCGAACTCGTGTAGTATTTCATGGGATCATATCTTGCTCTATTTTGTTCTGTTGAAAGCGTTTAATATCTCATTGGAAAGATCTTATCGAGTTGTAAAACATGTCTTGAGGCGCATGTTTCAAAATATCAAGGGATGATTGCCTAATTACTAAAATAGACTGTATTTACGCTAAAAGTGATATACTTACGCCGAAAACGCTAAATCATAGAGATAATGCTAAGTAATTGTGTAACTCATATCTTGCTGTGCGTTCTTCCGTTTAGAGCGTATTATATCTCGCCGGAAAGATAATTTGGAGTTCCAAAGCTATTGTTCCAACTTCATTTACAATGCATTAATTAAAAGTTACAGATTAACCATAAATTCACAAATATTTTTTATTTCACTCTGAACTCGTGTTGAATTTGATCCGATCATATCTTGCTCTATTTTTTTCCGTTGAAAGCTTTTAATAACTCGTTGGAAAGACCTTATCGAGCTATAAAACTTGTCTTCATGCGCTAGAGTCAAAATATCAAGTGGTTGATTGCCTAATTACTAAAATAAACTTTTTTTACGCTAAAAGTGCTATATTTACCTTGAAAACGCTAAATCATAAAGATAAGGTTAAGTATTTGTGACACTCATATCTTGCTGTGCATTCTTCCGTTTAGAGCGTATTATATCTCGTTGGAAAGATAATTTGGAGTTCTAAAGCTGTTGTTCCAACTTTATTTCCTTTGCATTAATTAAAAGTTATAGATTAACCATAATTTCATCACATATATTTCTGATTTCACTCCGAACTCGTGTAGAATTTGATGCGATTATATCTTGCTCTATTTTGTTCCGCTGAAAGCGTTTAATATCTCACTGGAAAGATCTTATCGAGTTGTAAAACATGTCTTCAGGCGCAAGTTTCAAAATATCAAGGGATGATTGCCTAATTATTAAAATAAACTGTATTTATGCTAAAAGTGCTATACTTACGCCGAAAACGCTAAATCATAGAGATAAGGCTAAGTAATTGTGTAACTCTCTTTTTTTAAGAAAAGATAATTTTATTGAAAAGAAAAGGAAACATTACATAAAAATAGAGAAGGAAAAAAGAAAATAAAACAATACAGGGAAAGAAAAGACTAAAACTACACCCAAGGAAATTCTCTTGACTGAGACCTAGTAGTCATGTTGTGCCGCCTTATATTCTTTTGCGTTTTCCTGTAGATTTTGAGCTGCGTGTTTAAATTTTCCGTTGGCAAGCAATTTCCTGAGGTAACAAACGTTGATTTCCTGCAGATCGCTTTGTTGAATTTTGATTTCCTAATCTCTGTTGGAGTTGAGATAGGGGGGACGACGATCGCTTTCAGTGGCATGTCCCAGAAAGTTGTCCATGAAAGAAGAATCATCTGATTGATAATAATTGTCTGATGCGTCTGAGTAAGCCTGAACAAGCATGAGACGTTCTACTGGAGTTGGAGACTTTTGTTTCTCTGAGTAGGCTCCTTGAATTTGGTAATCAAAAATTAGTTTCGATATTGATTTTGGCTCCTCAGGAACTAATACGGTTTGTTGTATACAATCCATTGCTCGCTCCTGCACTAAAGTAGTTAGTCCAACAAAATTAGAGAATATTGTCATAATTTTTTTTAAATTGGATTTCTTTGGGCCCATGGAGATTAGAATGAAGCTTCCTTTTTCCTTAACAATCTTGAGATATAAACCTGACTTGTTGAAATTTGAAGAGACCGTGAAGAGACCGTTATTGATACGATGAGTTGATTCATAAATTTGTAGATGTCAGGTGCTTGCTCTTTTTTGAAATTAATCCTATGCATCGAGGATTTTTTAATTTCAAATATGACAATTTCATTTTGCCTGTCAGCGAATCTAAAGGATATTGATTCAATGTTGACAGAATCAAATCCCTCCTCTCCAAAGAAGTTAAAAACTTCGTTTGCCTTGGTTGAATCATCCGTCCGTGCCTGAATTAATTCAAAGGATGATTTTTCTCCCACAATGGGTTGAGCATCCAGATAAGCCTGATTTATTTCCGTCTTAAGCAGATGTGTAGAGGAGCTAGGAGTATTTACTCCGGATTTACTTGGTCATTCTTTGTGGGAAATTATAGCCCATGTGGGAGTAGAGTTGGAATTAAAATTCACCATGGCGACAGATTCAGACCCGTCCCTTTCTTGGTCGGCACTCCTCTTGTCTGTAGCGATCTTCAGCAGGTCAGCCCATGTGCGGCCTGATGGTGTACGAGATGACCGAGCTCCCATTAGACTGCTACCGGCCGTAAGCTGGACTGGCTTCGCCCCCACGAGACTGCAACCGGCCGTAATCTAGGCTAGCTTCGCCCCACGAGATTGCTACCGGCCGTAGGCTGGACTGGCTTTGCCCCATTCTCCGTATCTGGTGGACCTTGCAGCGCTTCAATTTCCACCGTTTGTTGATTGGGAGATACTTTAGTTGCTCGGTTACCGGCCATCGGCGATGTCGGCCTTCCACAAGTTTTGCCGATAAGTCTGATTGTAGATATTCGGTCCGTTGGGTTTTCCCTTTCTCCCACAAAATCTACTTTTCTGCTTCTCCGATAATCACAGATGGGATTGCGATTGAGATTTCCATGAGTCCAGTGGTTTTCTTGAGTCTAGAAATTCTCCAGCCGTTTGATGGCTCCCCTGCCATTAGGCGGTGGGATTGAGGCTCTCTTCTAAGGTGGAGCCCTCTCGCATAATCCTTTGCGGTTTTAAAATTGTTTGAGCATTTGTAGTACCTGCCGTAGTGATGAGAAGCTGTATTTGCGCGGACTTCGTGTTCAGTGTACAACGGATGATATCCTTCACTCCATGTGCCTCGCCGGTAATTAGAAGCTGGATAATGGCTTATACCTGTTCTTGTAGAAAAACCACCTGGCCTCTTGAATCTGCTATCCCCAACCTTGGATTGGGGATGCCGGTAGTGAAAATCCCCATCGTTGTTCAAGTAGCATATATCATCGAATAAAAATTGTTCATGCCGGCAGATTGGAGGGTGCCGGAAATCCATAGACTAGATTATTCTGGAGTTGAATTTCTAGAGAGAAGGAGGAGATTCTCTCTCTCCATTTTTTTTCGTGTGTATTTGTGACACTGTTATGGTGTAACTCATATCATGTTGGACGTTCTTCCGTTTAGAGCGTATTATATCTCGTTGGAAAGATAATTTGGAATTCTGAAGCTATTGTTCCAACTTCATTTACAATGCATTAATTAAAAGTTACAGAGTAACCATAAATTCACAAATATTTTTTATTTCACCTCGAACTCATGTTGAATTTGATCCGATCATATCTTGCTCTATTTTGTTCCATTGAAAGCGTTTAATATCTCGTTGGAATGATCTCATCGAGTTCTAAAACTTGTCTTTAGGTGCTGGTTTCAAAATATCAAGGGATGATTGCCTAATTACTAAAATAAATTGTATTTACACTAAAAGTGCTATATTTACGCTGAAAACGCTAAATCATAGAGATAAGGCTAAGTATTTGTGACACTCATATCTTGCTATGTGTTCTTCCATTTAGATCATATTATATCTCGTTGGAAAGATTATTTGTATTTCTAAAGCTATTGTTCCAACTTCATTTACAATGCATTAATTAAAAGTTACAGATTAACCATATAATCACAAATGTTTCTGATTTCACTCCGAACTCGGGTAGAATTTGATGCGATCATATCTTGCTCTATTTTGTTTCGTTGAAAGCGTTTAATATCTCATTAGAAAGATCTTACCGAGTTCTAAAACAAGTCTTCAGGCGATGGTTTCAAAATATCAAGGGATGATTGCCTAATTACTAAAATACACTTTATTTACGCTAAAAGTGCTCTATGTACGCTGAAAACGCTAAATCGCAAAGATAAGGCTAAGTATTTGTGACACTCATATCTTGTTGTGTGTTCTTCCGTTTAGAGCGTATTATATCTCGTTGGAAAGATAATTTGGTGCTCTAAATCTATTGTTCCAACTTCATTTACAATGCATTAATTAAAAGTTATAGATTAACCATATATTCACAAATGTTTCTGATTTCACTCCGAACTCGTGTAGAAATTGATGCGATCATATCTTGCTCTATTTTGTTCCGTTGAAAGCGTTTAATATCTCGTTTGAAAGATATTACCGAGTTCTAAAACTTGTCTTCAGGCGCTGGTTTCAAAATATCTTGCAGTGTATTCTTCCGTTTTGAGCGTATTATATCTCGTTGGAAAGATAATTTGGTGCTCTAAAGCTATTGTTGAAACGTCATTCACAATGTATCAATTAAAAGTTACACATTAACCATATATTAACAAATGTTTATGATTTCACACCGAACTCGTGTAGAATTTGATGCAATCATATCTTGCTCTATTTTGTTCCGTTGAAAGCGTTTAATATCTCGTTTGAAAGATTTTACTGAGTTCTAAAACTTGTCTTCAGGCGATGGTTTCAAAATATCAAGGGATGATTGCGTAATTACTAAATTACACTCTATTTACGCTAAAAGTGCTCTATTTACGCTGAAAACGCTAAATCATAGAGATTAGGCTAAGTATTTGTGACACTCATATCTTGCTGTGTATTCTTCCGTTTAGAGAGTATTATATCTCGTTGGAAAGATAATTTGGTTCTCTAAAACTATTGTTCCAACTTCATTTAAAATGCATTAATCAAAAGTTACAGATCAACCATATTTTCACAAATGTTTCTGATTTCACACCGAACTCGTGTAGAATTTTATGCAATCATATCTCGCTCTATTTTATTCCGTTGAAAGCGTTTAATATCTCGTTTGCAAGATTTTACCGAGTTCTAAAACTTGTCTTCAGGCGCTGGTTTCAAAATATCAAGGGATGATTTCCTAATTACTAAAATACACTGTATTTACGCTAAAAGTGCTCTATGTACGCTGAAAACGCTAAATCATAGAGATAAGGCATAATATTTAAGACACTCTTATCTTTCGGGGTGTTCTTCCGTGTAGAGTGTATTATATCTCGTTGGAAAGATTATTTGGTGCTCTAAAGCTATTGTTCCAACTTCATTTAGAATGCATTAATTAAAAGTTACAGATTAACCATATAATCACAAATGTTTCTGATTTCACTCCGAACTCGTGTAGAATTTGATGCGATCATATCTTGCTCTATTTTGTTCCGTTGAAAGCGTTTAATATCTCGTTGGAAAGATCTTATCGAGTTCTAAAGAATGCCTTGGGCGCTGGTTTCAAATTATCAAGGGATGATTGCCTAATTACTAAAATACACTTTATTTACGCTAAAAGTGCTCTATGTACGCTGAAAACGCTAAATCACAGAGATAAGGCTAAGTATTCGTGACACTCATATCTTGTTGTGTGTTCTTCCGTTTAGAGTGTATTATATCTCGTTGGAAAGATAATTTGGTGCTCTAAATCTATTGTTCCAACTTCATTTACAATGCATTCATTAAAAGTTATAGATTAACCATATATTCACAAATGTTTCTGATTTCACTCCGAACTCGTGTAGAAATTGATGCGATCATATCTTGCTCTATTTTGTTCCGTTGAAAGCGTTTAATATCTCGTTTCAAAGATATTACCGAGTTCTAAAACTTGTCTTCAGGCGCTGGTTTCAAAATATCTTGCAGTGTGTTCTTCCGTTTTGAGCGTATTATATCTCGTTGGAAAGATAATTTGGTGCTCTAAAGCAATTGTTGAAACGTCATTTACAATGTATTAATTAAAAGTTACACATTAACCATATATTAACAAATGTTTATGATTTCACTTCGAACTGGTGTAGAATTTAATGCGATCATATCTTGCTCTATTTTGTTCCGTTGAAAGCGTATAATATCTCGTTGGAAAGATCTTACCGAGTTCTAAAACTTGTCTTCCGGCGCTGGTTTCAAAATTTCAAGGGATGATTGCGTAATTACTAAAATACAGTATTTACGTTCAAAGTTCCCTATTTACGCTGAAGACGCTAAATCATAGAGATAAGGCTAAGTATTTGTGACACTCATATCTTGTTGTGTGTTCTTTCGTTTAGAGCGTATTATATCTCGTTAGAAACATAATTTGGTGCTCTAAAGCTATTATTCCAACTTCATTTACAATGCATTAATTAAAAGTTACAGATGAACCATATATTCACAAATGTTTCTGATTTCACTCCGAACTCGTGTAGAATTTGATGCGATCATATTTTGCTCTATTTTGTTCCGTTGAAATCGTTTAATATCTCGTTTGAAAGATCTTACCGAGTTCTAAAACTTGTCTTTAGGATCTGGTTTCAAAATATCAAGGGATGATTGCCTAATTACTAAAATACACTATATTTACGCTAAAAGTGCTCTATTTACGCTGAAAACGCTAAATCATAGAGATAAGACTAAGTATTTGTGACACATATCTTGCTGTGTGTTCTTCTGTTTAGAGCGTATTATATCTTGTTGGAAAGATAATTTGGTGCTCTAAACCTATTATTCCAACTTCATTTACAATGCATTAATTAAAAGTTACATATTAACCATATAATTACAAATGTTTCTGATTTCACCCCGAACTCATGTTGAATTTGATGCGATCATATCTTTCTCTATTTTGTTCCGTTGAAAGCGTTTAATATCTCATTTGAAAGATCATACCGAGTTCTAAAACTTGTCTTCAAGCGCTGGTTTCAAAATATCAAGGGACGATTGCCTAATTACTAAAATACACTGTATTTACGCTAAAATTGCTCGGTTTACGCTGAAAACGCTAAATCATAGAGATAAGGCTAAGTATTTGTGACACTCATATCTTGCTGTGTGTTCTTCCGATTAGAGCTTATTATATCTCGTTGGAAAGATTATTTGGTGCTCTAAAGCTATTGTTCCAATTTCATTTACAATGCATTAATTACAAGTTACAGATTTACCATATATTCACAAATATTTCTGATTTCACTCCGAACTCGTGTAGAATTTGATATGATCATATCTTGCTCTATTTTGTTCCGTTGAAAGCGTTTAATATCTCGTTGGAAAGATCTTACCGAGTTCTAAAACTTGCCTTCATGCGCTGGTTTCAAAATATCAAGGAATGATTGCCTAATTACTAAAATACACTGTATTTACGCTAAAAGTGCTCTATGTACGCTGAAAACGCTAAATCATAGAGATCAGGCTAAGTATTTGTGACACTCATATCTTACTGTGTGTTCTTCCATTTAGAGCATATTATATCTCGTTGGAAAGATAATTTGGTGCTCTAAATCTATTGTTCCAACTTCATTTACAATGCATTAATTAAAAGGTACAGATTAACCATATATTCACAAATGTTTCTGATTTCACTCCGAACTCGTGTACGAATTGATGCGATCATATCTTGCTCTATTTTGTTCCGTTGAAAGCATTTAATATCTCGTTTGAAAGATCTTACCGAGTTCTAAAACTTGTCTTCAGGCGCTGGTTTCAAAATATCAAGGGAAGATTGCATAACTACTAAAATCATAGAGATAAGGCTAAGTATTTGTGACACTCATATCTTGCTGTGTGTTCTTCCGTTTAGAGCGTATTATATCGCTTTGGAAAGTATATTTGGTGCTCTAAAGGTATTGTTCCAACTTCATTTACAATGCATTAATTAAAAGTTAAAGATTAACCATATAATCACTTATGTTTCTGATTTCACTCCGAACTCGTTTAGAATTTGATGCGATCATATCTTGCTCTATTTTGTTTCATTGAAAGTGTATAATATCTCGTTGGAAAGATCTTACCGAGTTTTAAAACTTGTCTTCAGGCGCTGGTTCCAAAATATCAAGGAATGATTGCCTAATTACTAAAATACACTGTATTTACGCTAAAAGTGCTCTATTTACGCTGAAAACGCTAAATCATGGAGATAAGGCTAAGTATTTTTTACACTCATATCTTGCAGTGTGTTCTTCCATTTAGAGCGTATTATATCTCGTTGGAAAGATAATTTGGTGCTGTAAAGCTATTGTTCAAACGTCATTTACAATGCATTAATTAAAAGTTACAGATTAACCACATATTCACAAATGTTTCTGATTTTACTCCGAACTCGTGGAAAGACCATACCGAGTTCTAAAACTTGTCTTCCGGCGCTGGTTTCAAAATTTCAAGGGATGATTGCGTAATTACTAAAATACAGTATTTACGCTCAAAGTGCTCTATTTACGCTGAAGACGCTAAATCATAGAGATAACGCTAAGTATTTGTGACACTCATATCTTGCTGTGTGTTCTTCCGTTTAGAACGTATTATATCTCGTTGGAAAGATAA